AATGAATTTATTTGAGGCTTCGTTTTCACGATATACTTTGTCCCTTACTCGCTTCTTGAATTGATAAGTTCAATGACTTTGCGTCATTATGATCAGTTTCGCTGAGTTCTACTTGCCCTCCATTCACTTCTGGCACTGATAGAGCCGATGGTTCAATCTGTCCACCGCTCACTCTTGATATTAATAAATCCAACGGTCCTGTTTATGGTTCCTCGAATTATGTAAAATTATCTAAAGCTCTGCTAAAATTTTTATATACTTCGGCGATATTTCCTCGTCTACTTTAAATGAACTTACGATAGTTTGAGTGTCACACAGTTGGAAAAGATGGAACCGATGAAATGCATATTGATGAGAATGATTTCTTGCTAATTCTGAAAAAAAGAATTCAAATTTGCTAGTGCATGTAAGGAACAGGTTGCATATAAGAAACAACATCGCCTGCTGTCAAACAGCGTAAAACTTTTTCAAGTATATACTTTTCTAAATACATTAGCATTGAAAAGAGATCGGTACGCATTCATTGCGTGTATAATACGAACATCTCTCACTTAAACGTCAAACACTACAACTTATTCATATTGAAGATTGGGCGCAAGCATTCCAAAGCAGATTTCGCGCAGAGTGCTTATCTTGGTGACCTAAAATTGCGTGACGCAAAACTTTAGAAAGCAGGTGACATTCCCTGTCGAAATAAATGAAATAGAACTTACTAAATGAAATTTCACGGAAGACAGTTTGACAAATACCATTCAATCACTTGTGTTAGGTATTGGTCAAAGATCGCATGTATTGTCGTGGATTTCTGTTGAAGTAATTTGCAGTCAGTCAATAGTTGGAACAAGCAGGGGGATTTTACACGTTGGTTATCGAGGAGAAGAATTTGGAGGTCCCTTGGAGTATTAGCGGCACCACTTTGATGAGGATGATGTGTGTGTGTGTGATGTGTGTTGTGTCTGTCGTAACGTTGTAGACAAAGGGGGAGAGTTAAATTCCTTACTTGTAAATGGTAAGGGTCACAAAAACGATACGAATTGCCGATAATGATGAAAGGAAAAAAAGGAATCAACCAAACTCCTTGAGCGTAATGAAAAACTGGTCATAAAAGCTCCCCAGACAACACTCAATACAGCTTATATACGGAAAAAGTGGGAGTGGTTTTGCTCAAATATTTCAACAGATGTGATTTAAAATAAAGATTTAAGACATGAGTGATGACTGCATGGATAGATAATTTTTTATACTTTGGTCTTTCGCGAAATTGGAATTCGCGACATGTATAAATGCTAATTTTGTTTGAAGTAGGTGGCCACGTGTGTCAATAACTTGCATGCACTGCAATGGTAATACTGTTTAATTCCTTCATATTGAATTTTATTTTAGCTGCCATATTGATTGTAAAAAAACTAATTTATGCAGATTTCTCGGAAAACTATCCCGCAGTTCCATTTCCCTTCGCTTCAATTTTTCAAAATTTTCAAAACTTTCAAAATCCCTAAAATGCGAGTTTCATATGATATTAACACCAAACCAATTTTATTATATGGAGTGGAACTTGAGGAATTAAAATTGGTTAATTTAAATATTTGAAGAACTAAGTTTCTTGAATCCTTTGCATTTGAATTTTAATATCGAGCCATTGTTCAATTCAAATATGATTGCATAAGCATTGATTAAAATCGAATTAAGAGAAATTGAATTTATAATGATATGATTGACAAAAATTGGAATTAAAGAAAACACGTTATATCTTAAACGTTATATCTTAAAAAATTCGCAATTAAAATGAAAATTTTCAAAACTTTATTTTCAAAAAAAATTTTCCATTCCAGTGATAAATGTCTTTGTTAGGAGAGTGAAAGCATTTCATTTGAAGTTTGTAAAAGATAAAAATGTAATTACCGGACAATTCTGCTTATTACTTCCTGGCTTATTACTTCCTGCGGTGGATTTTTTCTAAATCGTGAAGTGTGATATCGATCAATAGCCAAATATCACCAGTGTTGTCGATCGGCTTCCTAAGATCCGCTGGGCTGATTTGAATTGGGCTGTGTTGTGTTGTATTGGGTTGAGTTGAATCAGGCTGAGTTGCGTTGAGTTGGTTTGGGTTGCGAGAGGCTGAGTTGAGTTGATTTGGGTTGAGAGAAGCTGAGTTGAATTGATTTGGGTTGTGTAATTATTTGCGTTGAGTGGAATTGAAGTGTATTGAGTCCACACCGGATTGTAAAGCCTTTATTGACCATAATGCTCTAGCCGATTTATCGATTTATAATAGGGTTTATATGCGTTAGAGTGGGAGTGGTTTAAATAAAAAGTTGAAAGAGTGTTCATTTAGATACAAAGGAAACTGTAAAGATCCAATTACATAATAAGCATTGTAACAAGAACAGATGGGAAGGTTAGCATGTAAATTGGACATCCTTTGTCAAAAAAATAAAGATGTGAATTTCCGTTCGACAAAGATAACAAAAGAAACGTATGGGAAATAATTTTAAAGAATGTAAATTGGTTAAATGATTCACACTATTGTTAACATTCACTTACAATTTGGATAAGGAATTTATTATTTATTTGGAATTTCGCATATTGAAATTCGCGACAATATGCATTAATAATGAAAAGGCTGTTTAGTAAGATGCAAGTAAACTCGAAACGTGGGATTTCATTCACTATTTACTAAGAGAAATAATAAAGAAATGTTAGATAAATAATATTTATATCCCAATAAAGCAATAGAATGCTAGCAATATAATAAAGAAAATGAATTTATCTTACAGAAAATACAATAAAATAGCAATGTGTAATTTCGGTTTAAAATGCGTCTGTTAGCTCCTTACGTGATTCTTCATGTGTGATTTCAAGGACTTCCAGGAAAATACTGCGCAGTTGAATCTGGGCCTATCATTGTCATGAGTCTCCATATAACGTCTCATATTGTGTGATAGGGCGAAAATTTTCCCACACACAGGACAAGCGCGCAGTTTTTCATTAGTATGGGTCTTCATAAATGTGAGCAGATTCCTTTCCTGCATGAAACTCCTGTTGCATTCCGAACAAGAGAACGGCTTGCATTCCAAGTAGACAGCTTCTTACAAGTATAACCCATCATATATGATTCATCATTTATAGCTGCAAGAGAAAGTTACATAAAAGATTAAATTTCCTTATACGAAGAGGAAAATGCGTAGAAATCATTTTACCAGATACAAGCTCGCTCACAGTTTGTATGTAAATTAGTTAGCGGCTGTGTGTAATTTCGATATCAAAGGAGAAGGCATTTTTACACGATTGAGCTAAGATAACAGACTCATCACTTTAGATAGAAAAAAACATAGTATATATTATTTTGTATAATGCGATGAGTCTTTTATCACGGAAATGTTTTTCACAACAAATTTTTTAGTTGTCTGGACGTATTTGGTTTTCTCCGACAAACCTCATATAGACCAGACCGTTATTATATATTATCTGCCTCACCATAATGTGCTGACTCCCAAGAAAGAAACAATTGAATTGAGAATTGTTTACGATAATTCAGCAAGCGTGAAGGGATCGAAGAGTTTTAATGAGGCATTATATCGCAAACCGATAACACTTCCAGATATTATGGGAATATCACTTCGCTTTCGAATGATGACGGAGGTAATCACAGCCAATGTAGAAAAGGCATTTTTACAAATCGAATTACATCCCAATGACAGGAATTGTACCAGATTTCTCTGGTTGAGGAATATAAACGAGGATGTTAATGAAGAAAATTCACAGTGTTTAAGAATCCCATTTGGAGTTATATCTTTTTTATTATCAGCTACTGTCAATTATCATTTGGAAGCTAATGGTAGTCAAACGGTCTTAGATGTCGATAACCTTCTGATATCCGCGAAAGGATCTGAGGAAACCTTGCAAAAATATTGTGAAAATTATTTTTAAGAAAGCTCCAATGAATATTAGGGAGTTTCTTTCGAGTAATGCTGGATTCAATGAAATTATATCCAAGATCGAGCAAACCTCCATGACAAAAAAGATTTTAGGTATTACGTGGTTCCCTAAATTAGATATTATACACGTCACTCTGAAACCACGGACGAGCAATGAATTAAAGGAACTATTCTTCAATTTGTTGCTTCGCAGTATGATCCCTGAGATTTTTAGTTCCTGTAATGATAAGGTTTAAATTATTTCTTCAAGATTTATAGAAGAAAAACTATTCCTGGGATCAAATTATATGTAATGAAGACCAACAGATTTGGGAATCTCTCATTAAGGGCAAGACGACACATGTAGGACAATTATTTTACAATATTTACTGATGCTTCAAGTATGGCGTGCGCAACAGCAATATATACATTCAGAGAAGGAATGAACGGCAAGGATCTTATTTTAATTTATGCTAAGTCCCGTATTGCACCTATTAAAGGAATGACCATACCACAATCAGGACTGCTGGCGATCCTCATTAGAATGCGAGCAGCACAATTTATGCTAAAACAATTCGACCTAGAAGACCAAAAGTAACATTATGGTCTGATTCCAAATGTGCGTTGCATTGGATAGAGAACTATTTTAAATTATACCCAAAATTTGTCCAGAATTGGGTCGAAAAAATTCGAAGGGCGAGATTTAGTTTTTGTTACATACCTGGCAAACAAAACTAACAAGAGGACTTTCTCCTACAAATCTTAGGAAATTTAATTCTTGGTAGCATAGACCATTATGGCTAAAAAAGAGGAAAGCGAATGGTACAGTGGGAATTCCAAGCAGAAGAGCATGACGGTGACGAAAAAATGGAAACCAGTGGACCAATGCAAATTTGCTTACTCAAATGTTCAAGTATCAACAATTTTCGTTTATAGACGCAAGTCGAGATTCAGCAGATGGTTTACATTAATCAAGGTAACCATTTTTGCTCTTAGATTTATCAAACGTATAACAAGGGATAGTTTCGAGTGGTTAAACCCGATTTCAGATAACCTCTTACATATAACAATGAAGGAAGTTGTTACAGCTCGACAAATGCTAATTAGGCAAGCACAGTTTGAAGGTATCAACTACGATGAAATAGCTAAATTGGATCTTTATTATGATGAATGTGAGAAATTGTGGAAATCGAAGAGTCGACTAGAAAACTCGGAATTAAATAAAAACGGTAAGTACCCCATTTATCTACCGAGATACAATATAATACATCATGCAGGAGTTGCTCATATACTATCAACAATGAGAAGTGTATATTGGATTTCGAAAAGAGAACAGAAGTCAAACGAGATTTGACATCACTGTATGGCCTGCAAACGTTGGACTTCCAAACCATTTAAACTGCCTACTATGATCAACCTACCAGAATCACGAGCTAAACGTTCAAGAACATTCGAATATATTGGATTGGATTATTTAGGTCCTGTCACTATAAAATTAGAAAATGGCACAGGAAGATGACGGATTGCTCTATTCACATGTTTTACGATTAGAATGGTACATCTAGAGATAGTCGAAAATCTCTCTACTGAAGCTTTCTTACTTATACTTGGAAGATTTATTGGTCGACGAGGATGCCCTAAATTGATTTTAAACGACAATGCTACTCAGTTTCAACTAGTTTTTAAAACTGTCACGGAACAGAATGTTAATTTCTCAATAGCAAAAGGAATTAATTTGGAATCAACAACTCCTAGATCACCATGGGAAGGCGACGTTTATGGAAGAATAATTGGATTAACAAAACAAGCAATGAGAAAGACCATAGGTAGAGAACTCCTATGGAAAAAGGAACTTTGACAATAATGGTAGAAGGCATACTTAACATCCGTTCAACAACCTACACAAACTTTGATGACTATTTAGTTGTACGTCCTATCGATTTTATTTCACCTAATGCTTCGTTAATCTTACAAATTGAAGATAATAGCACAGGCAATGAAGAATTTTCCCACATAAACTAAGTACCAAAGATAAACTTACTAAACATTAGTTAAACCGAAACACAGGAATTAATTGTAATGTGTACTTGAACATCGACTAGAAGGATGTCCAAAGTGAACATATTAAGTTTAGCAATTCAAGGTTTGTTATTAATGATGAACATATTACTAATATATTACTACATGTGAATATATTACTACAAGTTCAAGTAAACAGTTATATTTTGAAGTTGCAAAACGACAATTGGTATTCCTTTTAGCCTCCCCAATAGATGTAATTGTGAAGAGATATTGCAACAAAATCTCACGTTGGCTAAGATAGCTGTCTATACTAGATCTCATGGAAGAATTCTAACAATAAGATACAACAGTATTACGCGAGTGGTATGTATCAGAGCCTTAGGCTATCTTTTTTTTTGTAGCATCTGACCAAATAACCACTTCAGCAACATCGCAAACTTGCAAATTTTTATATGAACATAAGGAAATCAATGGAATTATCATGAAACAAATAGCACCAGGTACTTGGATAACATTATTTGTTGACAATATTCCTACGGATGGTTAGAAGTAAGATGTCAATTTACAACAAATTTTGCAATCACTGAAGGACAATTATTACTGCATGATGGGAAAGCTATGGTCTCAGATTTGGGTCATGCTGAACCCTGCACTACTCAAAGCGGAAGATGTGAAACCAGCAGTAGTATTATCTTATGGAACATAACTGAAATATCGAAGAATTGTCATATCGAAAGACTGGTATGTATACGATGCACACATTTATGAAAGTCATGTAATCATGGATGAACTTCAAAATTCATTTATTTTCAGCAACAAAACTAAAACGATTATGAACACAGATTGTAACTTCACCAATCCTTATCGTATGGATGGTGATATTATTATTGATATGAGATCAAATTCAACCAAATGAGAAATCGAAGAACTGTAAATTTGACACCAACTGTAAAGTTGGATAAGTTATTATTGATGGAAACCGACAAAGGCGACAAATTCGATCCAGAAAATACAAAACTTCAACACTTTGTTGGTAATCTACAGAGAGATTTCCAACAACAAATGAGCATAGTGCATCAGAGCTAACTGACAAATCCAACATTAGCTGCGAGGTTATTATTACAAAGGAACGATGTGGTAGCCAAGGAAATCAAAAGAAATTTATTAATTATTCCATGTAAATCCAGAAAATTTAACTCTACCATTATCGAATTTAAGGAAGGAATAATAAGCAAACTTGAATTTGAAAGAATTAATGCAGAACTGGAGATATTGGCTCAGAAACAGGAAGGATTGCATCCAGCATCAAATCAATACGAAACGGAACCTCTTTAGGAAGAAATAAGTCAACAAAGTGAAGAATAAAACAACAACAAAACTTTCCCGACACATCGCGCATAATCTCTTTGAAGAGTAAAACTGGCAAAATTTCCAAAGTCAACCTGTCAGTTTCGTCCTTCTAAACCAGTATCCCCAACCGGTGGTCGCGGACAACAGATGATCCGCGATGGTGGCGGCGCAGTGTGTGATAAACAAGCAGGGAACTATTCTTATCAATATTTGTTAAACTAATGCATCAAAAGTCTTGAATAAAGTTTATTTTCAAATTAACAAAATTTATTATTTTCGAACCTTCCGGTCAGGGACTTTTATTTGTCCCTACCACAAATAAAAGAACCAAAGTGATCTCTGGTTAAAAAAAAAAAAAAAAAATTGGGAATCACTGCTCTAAATGGAGTACTGAAAAAATGTGAAGAGTTTTATAATGAAATGAAAGAGTGAAAATAGGATTAGGTTCTGCAGAATGCAATCTTCGAGTGGAGATTCAAAATTGGATTTCTTGGAATGATAAACATTATCAAGAGCAATAAACCTTGCAGAATTCGATAGCACCCAATAATTAGCATTCGGATCTGATAATATAAAGTCTTCGACATACAAAGCCTCTAATCCATGATTCAATTATAAAACGAAAAATGCTGCACTATGCTATCGCGTACTAAAATATTAAAGATAATAGATGAAGAAACTTGAGCTAACAATTTCTCTAGAAACATAACGTGAATCAATAACAATGGCATAGCTCTGCAAATGAACATTTTA